AAAAAAAAAGTTGCTGTTAACAAACGTATTTCACATTTATTTCAAATTAATAGTATACTTTTTAACATAACTGCAATACCAAGGTAAATTTTTCGTATGCTGATTTACTGACTAGTCAGTTGATAGCAGTCATCAAATAGAATAAAGTAAAAATTAGTAGAAAGTTAATTTTTATATGTTTAGGTAATGCTACAGCATCTGAGTGCTATATACGTCTGAGGTAAAACAACAAACCTTTTCTTTGGAGACTTTTTTTTTGCTTCTCTTCCCCTCTGTATTCCCAAATTCATCTACAAGATTATCATTTTTTTACTCGCTTTTATATTATTTAGCATCATCCTTAAGTTTATTTTATAATATTGAACAGTAGATGAAAAACGCGTCAATTGTCGTTGCAAACTGTAGCGCAGCACTCGCACAGCAGTTTTAAATCAGTTATAAAGGTTCCTATGCAAATTCGAAAGACAGAACAATAAATATTTGGCTATTTAATGAGATAAAAATTCTTTTTCAAAAGTGACAACATTTATTAACAGATTAAATGAAAAAGTTCAAGTAAAGTAAGAAAAAATCGAACGACTGAACTGAAAAGTTCAGTATTTTAACAAATTTTATAAAATGAAGAATAATATTGAACATCGTCGAACTGTCTATCAGTACAGTCAACGGAAATGGCTATGAACAAAAATTTGTTGCTATTTTTATAAACATTGACAACTTTTTTCTTCTCCAATACTCTTTTATCTGTTCAATGGTTTATACAGGCGGCTTAAGTTACATTGGCCGTATCAATCGTTGGTCAACAGCAGCAGTTTTACTGCTTTTATTGAATTCTCTGAATGCTACCAAATATATGTCTACAGATTAATTGCCAGTATTACCATCATACCATAAAGTATACTTTTTTTTGAAAATAATGAGCAATTTTTATAGCTACAGAAGACTGAAGATATATTTTTTGTCGAAAATTGTAAATGGTTTGGAACAGTCAATGCAGTAAAAAGAAAATGCTTTAGTATAGAGTCTCTTACAGCAGTCTGAAAAAGCTTTTCAATGAAAAACAATTCTTTTTTTGCACGATAAAAGCTTCAATAAGCTGAAATATTTGAAATATATATTGGCGAAAACAACGGAACAAAAAAATAATAATAATCTAAACAAATAAAGAAGCCAAAAATTTGATGGCATTAATTTTTAAACTTTATTATAGCAACTATATTTAACAATATTTTCAGCAGACAAATACTGCCAAAAATAGCAGCTTTTTTTATTCAGTAAGACTGTCCTTCTTTCGTTTTTTTTTTTTTGCCTTTATATAACATATAATCTAAAATTTATGACTGGAAAATAAGGCAGATGAAGGTTTATTATCTGTTTCAGTAATTACCGTTTAATTTTGCCGACGGAGAAGAAAAAAAAAGAAAGAAAGAACATAGAAAGAAACTAATGATGTGATCATTACAGACAAAAATAATGCCAATTACTCAGATAATATTGATAATAAAGGATTGAAGTAATTGTGGAGTCAATCAAATACAGCTAAATTAGCGCTAAGTAGACTGTTAGTGTTCTTTCTACTAATTTTTAAAAATTTT